TCTTCTTCTTGCTTTACGGCAGATCGCAGACTTATAAGTGCATTACCGCCACCTATCTCTCAAATGAACTATTGACACTCTATCTACAATCTCAATTAGGCGTGTCAATGGTCCATTTGAGAGATAGGTGGCGGTAGTGCACTTATAAGTCTGCGATCCGCCGTAAAGCAAGAAAAAGAAGACGCCTCACGCGCAGGCTGAAGAAGACGCGAACTCGCTCAGGACAGTTCAGACATTGTGGTGAAAATCAGATCAGCGGTAAAAAAGGATATAAATACTGTTCAGTTTCTTGCACAGACCGATCGTTTTGTGTCTTTACACATCATTGTATCGTCACAAGCCACAGGGTTTAATTTGGTTTTGTTTGTGTATGTTAATGACTCTCAAAGCCGTGATTCCCATCCAGTTACATTATATGACTGACAGACTGCAACGGTTTGAGTTAAAAATCTCTGTTTGTGTTCTACTGAAGAAACAAAGTCACCTACATCTTGGATGCCCTGGGGGTAAGCAGATAAACATCACATTTTCATTTTTGGGTGAACTATCCCTTTAAGCCTCTTTAACATTCAACAAATGACCACTGCCGTCATTCATACAGGCATGATACCAGAATCTAAGCACATCTTTAACATGCCCGATAAATGTATAATATACCTGTATTTAAATATCTGTCAGAGCTAGAAATTAAACCATGTACAAAGTACATTAGGACTAGCATTTGTTAACTGGAAAAAACAGTCATACAGCTTGCTTTGTTAGACTAAAATATTATCAACATTGCTTTATATGAAAACAATTTAATACATTTGATTTTAGAATGAGGTTTTAGTCATTTTAATGCTTATTTTTTATCAATAAAAATGATTAAACGTTCATGTTTTTCTTTTACAATTGTACCCAGTATTATTACTCAAGGATCTCATTCAGTTTCAGTGGATCGATACTTCAATTGCTAACGACCTTACAATCTGTTTCAATTCTGCAGTTAGTCTTATCTCATCTGGTTAGCGCGCAAGGACACAGGTGTCATCATACTGCAAGTAAATACTAGTGCTTACCAGTTCGATAAACAGTCACTTTGTGTTCTAAACAAACACGTTTGTTCAAAATATGAAAGTGTTACATTATAAACGAAAAGTGAACACAGTAACGACGTGTTTAGGGGGAGGGTTAGTGGGTTGTGCCGATTCAGCATCACAGGCCTGAGCTCACCATGCCGCCTTGGTCCTCGCCGGTTTTCTCCTCTTGATCACGGGCGACTGATCCCGGCTCGACCTCCTTCTGTTGCGCTTGGCTGCTAATCTCCGAAGTCATCGGCCGCCTTTGGCTCTGCCCCGGCCGGCCACTCTCGACCCCGATCCGCGATCAAACCCCGTGCGCCTCCTCGCCCGATCCGCCACTCCTCTCGCCGGCTGAATGCAACAAGCACTTGCTCTAGCTAGTTACGGTCGGTTTGTCTTACCGTTTCAGAAAATAAACGAAGGATGGAAGAAAAAGGAAGACTCGCTAACACTAACGCTTGCGAATCTATCTCCAGTACGGGTCTACTTCATACTCTAATAAGCCTTAATGGGGATCAGCGAGCGTTTTTGACAGACGGCAGAAATTCACACTCCGCCACCGTCCCGACAGACAATGCGACCACCCCCTCCATCGCGCTCGCTCACCTACATCTTGGATGCCCTGGGGGTAAGCAGATAAACATCACATTTTCATTTTTGGGTGAACTATCCCTTTAAGGTTATCATACCGTCAAAATCTCATACCGGCCCATGCCTACAGCATTCCCTCTTCTGAACATAACAGTGTTTTACTATGCTTTTTCCTGTAGTTATGTTAAAGCTACACTATGTAACTTTTAAGGGTTAAATAATAAAGCTGCATGTTCCTACTGGAGAATGCTCTTTTTTGGTTGTGCTTTGGCTCTGCTATTCTGCACAGATCAATGCATTTCGAAGCACCAGTGTACATACGGATACAGGTCATCTTATCAGTATACAAATAAACAATCACACTAACCACAACTACAGCTACTTTTTTCTGTGTACAAATTTGACGTGGCTTGCATAGGCGAATGATGTATGGATACAATTTCTTGCAAAATCTGTCTCGACAGCTCTAATATATAAATCATTATATCATAGTGTATTTGGGTAAAGTAATGACATTGTTTAGAAAATAGATTTTTTGCACACTTTCATTAATATCATTTTGTCTTTAATGGGCAAATAAATGGGCTGCTCTTTATTTGTACTGGGTTTCAATTATTATGGGTAATTTAAAGGCAAAATATGTCATTTTCGCCGCTGGAGGGCGCGTATTCAAAATAAACAAAGAGACAAAGGCGTAGTTTGATGACGCCGTGACTTGAGTGTGGAATCATGGGAGTTGTCGTCTTCATCACCACAGCCGATGCAATCCGACGGGACTCGGGCAGAAATCATGTTCATGGATGAGCTAATGATTTATTAACGTAGTAGAATGAAGCAGGGTGCGGCTGAAAGCAGTCTAAGCGAAACGAGGCCACTGAACGAGCGCGACACATGGCTCGAAAGCAGCGGAGCCCAAAACGTCATGTACAACAATGTTTGATTGCACTCCCTTTGGCATGCGTGTGTTATGTGGCATTCATGTGCAGTCTATGAAGTATCAGAAGTATTTAATGTTTAATGACTACAGCAACATGCTTGGAACAATGATTAGCTGTTTTACAAAATGGAAATATTTTAATTTTAAGAACAGTAATATTATAGTAACATATTACATAACAGTAATATGTAAGGTATGTCTTGACGAAAACCTCTCAAACACACTGAGCACAAGCACTTTGTCAAAGCAGTTGGCATGGCAATGAGGCCACATGAAACTGTATTCTTATAGCATTCTTTGAAGCGTTTAATATAAAGTGTCCCCGTGGCTTGTGTTGTACAGTTTTTTTTTTTTCTGCTGCAGCTCAGGCCCTGGTCTCAGCTATTTTTCAAATGTGTGTGTTTGTTTTCAAGAGGAATGCTTATTCCTATTGCAAATGGACATCACTGACAAAGGTCCTCAGTGTAAAGACTGTTGTACATTGAAATTTTATCAATTTCACCAATTAGTTGATCATTGTTCATGTATGAGAAACAACATGTAAAAGACACATTCCTACCTGGTAAGGGAGGAGGGGTTGGGCTTTTGGGTGCTGCTTCTTCCACTCTGAGAGGGTCGACTCTGTGCTTACGTTTTAATCGTAATTTCCTAGTTTTCTTTTTATTCTGGTCCACTGCTCCTGATCAAAGGTGAAAGACATTGAAATCACTTCATCCACGCCAACAAATTGCAGAGGTAAATAGGTTCTTCATGTGTTATAATAGCAAAAGCGTGTATTTGAAAGTAACTGACAATACTCAAATAAACCTTTATCCACTTATTACTCTTGGCGTGATGGAGTCCTTTTGAGGAATAAAAGATACTACCTAATTCTGTGCTCTCCGGGGTCTGTCTCTCGTTCTCTTCATCCTCCTCCTCTTCCTCCTCATCTTGAAGGACTGTCTGTTCTTGCACACTGCCCTGCTGGCCATTTTCTCTCTGTCTTTGCATCTCTTTCTCTTTGTTTAGTCCGTCTTCATTCTGGGATTTTTATATGAATTTAGTATTTGCATCATAATGATTTCATCCAACTTGTATTTAAAAGAAACACTGTGATAACTAACCTCATTACCAACATTGTTTATTGGCTGGAAAGGGTTGGGCATGTCGACATCATCTAGATCTTCCTCTTTCAATGTCCTGCCTTCTCGCTCTGCTTCTTCTCGCTCCTGTCGGTCTCTGTCAGTGGAAAAACATCTTCATCAAACTGTTGTTTGCATTTTGAACACTTTAAAGTAATGATGAAATGGAAGTAGAGACAACTATTTTCTTCAATATTGTACTGATAATCAATATTGAAGTGAAATATTGAGTGAAACAGATTATCAAAAAATTGTGGTGAGGGAGGGCTACTAACATCATCAGCCGCCATTTAAAAATCGGTGTTCCCCAGGGTTCTGTTCTGACCGAGCCCTAGGCCTGTCGCAATAATCAATATATCGACTTATCACGCAATATATTTACATGATCTCAAATAATTTTTGGTTATGCAATATATCGCCCATTATATTGACTTAAAAATTAATGTCACCATGTTTTCTACATTCCACTTGCGCCTGTGTCTTTTGCAGCTTCTCGTACATAACGTGGTGTAGTTGGTGCTAGTTCAAATTTAAAAAATGCTTCTAAAAAAAAAAGTTTAATCTGCAGATATGGTCTTGTTTAGGGATCTGTGCCTTTGTGCATACGGACATCTGACTGCTAAGTAGTGATTGTGTTTGCTGAGAGGAATGTAGATCTGAGTATCGTCAGCATAAAAATTATATGAAATATTATATTTTCTCATGATCGAACCCAAGGGGAGCATATACAAACAAAATAAGATAGGCCCCAAGAGGGACCCCTGAGGTACCCCATAGGTGAGCGGTGCAGAAGGAGAGGACGAATGTCCAATCATCACCTTAGCTGATCTATCGGAGAAGTATGATGAGAACCAATCCAGTGCCGTGCCCCTAATGCCAACTTCATCCCTTAGACGATTAAGAAGGGTAGCATGATCAACTGAATCAAATGCAGAACTAAGATCAAGTAGCATTAAAATAGCAGATTTACCGGAGTCCAAAGTAAGGAAAGGATCTCCTCTCAATTCACAACGCTGTCTACGTTGCTTAGCCACCAGTATGCCGTTTTTTTTTTTTTTTTTAATTCATACAGTTTGCGTAATTCAAACTGGTTTACCGTTTGAACCGGTATATCACCCAGCACTACTGTTGATGCAGTTTTGTTGGGCCTGTTTGCTAAGAGCAATGCAATTCTCTCTTATAAAATACCAGCAAGAATGCAGGGCGTGGACTTGGTTCATTTGCTGATCATTAGATTTTGAGATGTGAGCTTGCAGTCAATTGTTCAAGGGGCAGGTTTTAAGCAGACTAAAAGATTAGAGAAGTCTGGCATATGTCTCCAGAGAGAAATCTGTCACCTTCAAGAGAAAGATAGAGTTTGGATTAAACATTACGACAAAAAATAAATAAATAAAAATAAACATACATGGATGAATCATTCACAATAAGATCCATAAAACACAAAACATATAGTGAATTTACATTTCATGTTAACTTTAGTTACTTTGCAGTAACTAGAAAAAACTCAAAGTGAAAAAACACTTTAAATATAAATGCAAATAAAACCAGCTCAGTTTACATGAAATCATTTCAGAACTAGACTACATTATCTAAACTATTTTCAATGACTATGCCACTAACTTCATACACTCCTGACATATCTGGAAAAGAGGGATTAGAATGACAATCTGAGTGAAAAGTCTTGTCAGCTCACTGACCTCTCCTCTCTGATCCGCCGGACTCTCTCAGCTCTTTCCTTCTTGTCTTGTTCTTCTTGAGCCTTCTGCTCAGCTGTATCTCTTTGCACACGCTCTGAAATTGCCTCGTAGTCCTTGGCAATGTTATTCAGGAGCCAGTTAAGTCCATTCTTGATGGATTTGTCAACCTTCTTACCATAACCTAGCACTGCAGAACAGGGTTCCTGAGAGTAGAGGAAACAATGTTTAGCTCAGTTTTATATGATTGGTTTGCAACATTTCTGCCAAGAGAATGGGATGAATTTGACAAAATTTGAACCTGTTAAAAGCAAATAATAAATAAATAAAGACTCAGGATTTCCTCTGTGGTTAAAAACTCACAAGACTGATAAATATAAACTGTGCTGAAATATTAACTCACAATCTGACAGAGGCATTTATTCTCGTTGACAAGCTTCTCCAATGACAGGGTCTCAATGATATCTGCTTCAGCCAATGCCCCATCTCGGTCCTGTTTATTAGCCAGTCTGCAAGCCAATCAGAATAAGGAAAGAGCTGGTCACTAGGTGTGCAGGTCACTAGGTAAGCTGTCACAAACAAATGACCTGAGGTCGGCACTTGAGGTTGACTGAATAATTAGCCTTGTGTTAAAGAATACTCTTGACTTATTAGCACACTTAACAAGCTATATTTAGTCAAGGACTTCATCTGCTGCTCACTCCCTCAGTTAATTGGACCCACTGCAGCTTGTCTAATGCCCCGACAGATATACAGATGATGTATTGCACATTTATTGCACACCGCCCTGTTCCACTTGGACTAAAAGCAGGAATTATGTGAGGATGCTCTTCACTGATTACAGCTTGACATTCATCAAAGCCTCCAGGCTCATCAGCAAACTCAAGGTCCTGGCTCTAAACTCCTTCATATTTCTGACAGGCAGGCAATGTTGGTGAAGGAGGGCTGTAAACATTATCAGCAGCCTTTTAAAAATGGGTGCTCCCCAGGGTTCTGTTCTGAGCCCGTTTCTATTCTCCCTTTTACGCACAAAGTTCTGCGGTTTTATGGAGTTCCAGCTTCATCATGGTTTTTGCTGATGACACAGTTTTGGTGGGTCTAAGGCAGCGTTTCCCAATTCCAGTCCTCACGCCCCCCCCCTGCACATTTCGTATGTATCTCTTATCACGTACGACGTTTGTTCTATTCGAACGTTAGTGCCCTGCGAAGTGGACATCACCGGATATTCCGCCATGATTCCAGTTCGAAACGAGTGTATATGTTCCATTCAAAGGGCATTAAAGTGTCCGAGATGTAAATTTAAATTGTATTTATTTACAGAGGTATATGATGTCTAGAGCCCGACTGATATGTTTTTTTTGGGGGCCGATACCGATATTAGGGAGTAAAAAAGGCTGATACCGATATATCGGCCGATATTCTTTATGTGTAGGCTATATTATAGTACAGTATAGTCAAAAGTTTGGACATGCTTCCCATTCGTGTGTGCGTATATATATGTACTGACTTGTTTTTCATTTATTCATCAAAAATAAGACAAATTCCATGAAATTCCACGTTATACAGTAAATTCCGTTTTTATGACTGGATTCCTTGATTCCGTCCATGTTTTCTGCATCGCAGAAATCATAGGGCCCTACTAATGTAGCAAAAGAATATGATAAGCTCATTGTGAGAGTAAAAGACGGGGACATTGTTGTTTATTTACTTAGCATTGAGTCTCTCCAACTAGGTGACAACGTAGCGTTAAATCACCATTCAACAGACTCAAGCCACCACCGCACTGCCGTCTATTGGACTGCAGAAAGATACTAACTTTTCAATCTGCTACGTTACTCGTTATATGTACTGTAAAAAAAATTTCATATCGGCAGCATATTCGCCGATACGATATATCGGCGACAGGCTCATATCGGCCGATAATATTGGCTAAACGATATATCGGTCGGGCTCTAATGATGTCACACTCGTCTGTGTGGGAGACATTGCAGGCAGCGGCGCAGCGCAAATCCATGAATTAATGTTCCGAAGAGAAGAAAACTTAAACGGATTTCCCCTGCTCATGGAATAGGGAGCAATGAACACTGTATAGGGATCATATCAATCGGAACTAGGGTTGCAAAGGGGTGGAACATTTCCGGTAAATTTCCGGAAACTTTCCAAAAATCCCTGGAATATTCCAAAAAATATTCCTGGAAAGTTTCCAAAATGTCTGAAATGTTTCCGAAATTTGCTGGAAATTTTCCACCTTTTTGCAACCCTAATCGGAACACAGTTCATGCACGTAGCTCTCTTCTAATGAGCTGGTTATCTGAATCAGGTGTGTTAACCAAGAGAGACAAGAGCAGGGGGGTGCGAGGACTGGGATTGGGAACCGCTGGTCTAAGGCTAGTTGCATAAACTTAGCCTCTATGTTAAAACTGTGTCTTGAGCAGTAGTCTGACAACCTAGCAGTTACCAAAGAGGTAATGAGTAGGGCTGTCATCAAAATGGCTGAAAAACTAAATTCGAATTTTGTACTGAAATATTATCAATATTCGAATTATATTCAGATTGGCTTATCTCCTGAGGCCACAAGAGGGCGCATCGAGCAAAATATTACTAATGCACGTTTCTTCAAAGCAATAAAATGACACGAATATCTTTGAAAAAAGTGCATAACGTTTATATAATTAATTCATTTGCTTAAACATTTACAAACAAAACAGCATCATGTATATATGTAAAGCCTAGTTTAATACAAAGGACTGAAAACCAATCACAAAGAGTACTTTTTTATTTAAAAACATAAGATGCAGTGGGATGGGGGAAAAAACCCATGTCTCGAGACATGTTTTTTAAAAGTTGAAATTACATTCATTTTACATGGCTTTCTAAACATGCAGCTCTCTTGTGCGAGACGCGAGTGCAACGGTGATAGATGTCCCTCTAGAAAATGCAATAAATATGCATTCTTTGTGAATGGCTTGGTTTCAGTTTTGACATAAATAACATCATCTCCGCATTGATCTTCTCTTTTTCCGCAATATTTTGAATGAACAACATAGCAGCGCCACATCTAGTGGGTTCAACTGGATAAGCTATGAAAAGCATTAAAATGCAATGACACTTACTTCGTCATCGCATTTCGTGCGCCACTGATAAGGCTGCCTGACACACACCTAAAATTTGAATGCAAAAACCTTGTATAAAATATGCATTTTTATTTTAAATTCGCCGAATATTCGAATATTTTTTGACAGCCCTAGTAATTAGTGTTGTCAAAAGACCCGGTACTTCGGTACCAAGTCGGTACTAAAAAAATGAAAATGTTACGGTACCAGGTTTTTTTAAGTACCGGTGGTACCGAGTACCCGGTCAATGCGGTTCTTGATGCGCTATCCGAAAGGTGCGCACATGCGCTCTCTTTATAAAAGCACTGAGACGTGGCGACATCAAAATGAGGAAACACACCAAACTAACAAAACACTTTAAAGACAGACACCCAGATCAAATGAAAGAGTTCAAGCAGGTAAATTTCATTTTAATTTTTAATATTTAGATCTTGTGTTTTCCTATACATTGATTTATTTGTGGCGGCCCGCCACAATATCAAAACTGACCGCCACAAATAGATTTTCCAAAAGGCTTTGACTTTGTTGAATAAACATGAGCACTGCATGTGTCAAAGTCGAAACCTGGGGCGGGTGT